TTGTCATCTTCACTAATATGGATAAAACGGACAGAGAAGCCATTTTCATATCTAAGCATTTGAATGTAAAGAGCTAACAAATTGTTTTGGTGACTTGCATTTTAATCGTGATGCATCGCTCGATTAGCAGCCTCTTGGTACACAGCGTTTGGAAGCCTTCGGATGGAGACTGTGCTGTGCACCTGCAGTGAAGAGTGTGCATCCTTCAAAACAAGCCCTCCCGGGTCCCCAAATTATGTTAAGCTAACCGTCGGCGAGGCTGGAGAAGGGAAGGCCATGGCCAGCAAGAAGGAGTTTGATGGAGCCAACGGAGATGGTGAACCTTTAAGAACAATGAGAAGAGAAAGGGTTGCTGGGGTTGAAAGAGCAACATCAAAGCCACTTTGCCACCAGCTCCTCTGAGTGAAAAGTGAAAAGCGCCCGGGCTTTAGAGAAAGAAGCCCTCGAAGGTTCTCTTACAGAGGACCGGGAGAGGCCAGCCAAGGGGCTCAGGACACCAAGGACAGAAGTCTACAGAGCAGCTACCACCAATTAATAGTGAGCCTTATTTCCTGCTTGTTGGGTGTTGGGCACAGCATTTCTGCACGCTCACCACCGTCTCTCCTCACAACTTCTGGGAGGTACATGCAGTTAATTATTTGACTTAGTTTTCAGCTGGGAAACTCAGGCTAGGAGCAGCAGAGTAATTTGTACAGGGCCACACTGGTGGGGGCCGAGTGGGGATGTCTGTCTGGGTCTGCCCGACTCCAGACTCCGCACACTTCACTGCTCTGTGTGCACCACTGTTACGGCAACTTTTGGAAAACCATCTTCGTGCTTCTGGGAATGACTTGTGGGAAGCAGCTTGGACTGGATACAGGCCCCGAGCACTGCAGCATGCCGCCGGTGACTGTGCGCAAGTGGCTAACTTCGCTGAGTTTTTCTTTCCTCAGGGGTTAATAATCTTCTAAGCTCCGCATTGGTTTCCTTGGGCTGCTGTAACAAACTGCCACAAGGTGGGGGGCTCAAAACACATGCAAATTTGTTCTCTCTCTCAGTTCTGTGGGCCAGAAGGCCAAGGTGTCGGCAGAAACATTCTCCCTGTGAAGGAAGCTGGAGGGGAGAATGCCTCCCTGCCTCCCTCCGGCTGCTGTGCCCCCGGCATTCCTTGGCTGCTGGCTGCATTACTCCAATCTCTGCCCTCATTTCTGAAGGGCATTCTTTACTCTGTGTGTGTCTCTGTGGCCAAATTTCTCTCTTCTTATAAGGATACCAGTCTTTGGTTTAGGGTCCACCCTAATCCAACCCCATCTCAACTTAATTTGATTACATCTGCAAAGACTCGCTTTCCAGTTAAGGTCACAGTCA